AGCTGGAAAAGATAAGGCAATCTTCCCAGCACCCCAGCAGTTCGGTAGAACAGCAGCAAAGCAGCCCAGCGTGCAGCAAAGGTGTCAGCGAGAGGCCAGGGATTGCATTCTGCAGGGAAGTGCCAAAGAAATAACTTCATTTAGGGCTTTTAACCCGCAGCAGCCTGGAACGGGGCAAGCACAAGCAGTGCTGTGCATGCAATGCAGGGAGGGCATCACCCTGGAGCACACCCCTGCCCTGCATCTCTTCAGCCCTACCTAACCCCTGCCCTATAGCCACTGAGGAGACAGGGTCACCCCTCCATCCCAAATAACGGGGGGGGCACATATGCCAGCTCCCACACAGGGGATCCCGCTCACACCAGTCCCCCCCAGTAACAGGGGGACAGTCACACCAGACCCCCCCCATAACAGAGGCTCTCCTCATCCAACCCCCCCCAATAACAGGGGTCCAGTCACTTTAACCTCCCCCCAGATAACCAAGGGCCACTCACACCCCCATACAGTAGACCCCAGTCATCCCAGTAACACGGGCCAACCACACCAGTGCTCCCACCCCGCGCAACAGCGGCCCATTCACCCCAGTGCCCCCCCCATCAGGGGCTCTAGACCCCCCCCTTTCCCTAACAGAGCCCGGCCCCCCTCAGCCACAGGGAACCCCCCAGCCTGGCACCCCCCGTCCACAAGGGCCGGCTCCGGGTTCCGAACCCCGGGCCCTGCGCACCCACCGCGGCCCGTCCCGCGCTGTCGGCGGCGCCCGCAGCCCCGGCGCGGCCGGATCGCACCACTCGGGCACACGCGCGGAAGGGGAAGGGGAGCACGCTCCGCCCCCACCGCCCGCCAATGGGCTCCGAGCGCGCCCGCCCGTGAAGATCACCCCCTCCCTCCCGCGGTTGGTACGGCCCCACGGCGCCGGGCGTGATGGGGCGTCTTAAAGGGACAGGGAGCAGCGTGCGGAGTCGGGTTAACGGGCATGGAGCGGGCTTTGGGGTGTCAGGGCTCAGAGGAGGGGATAGGAGTAGGGTGTGTATGGTCAGGGGTGGGGGCCAGGTTTGGTTTAGTGTCAGGTCTGGTATGGGGCTGGTTTTAGGGTCAGGTTTGATTTAGTGTCAGGTCTGGTATGGGGCTGGTTTTAGGGTAAGGTTTGATTTAGGGTCAGGTCTGGTATGGGGCTGGTTTTAGGGTCAGGTTTGGAGTCAGGCTTGGTTTGGGATCGGTTTTAGGGTCAGGTTTATTTTCAGTCAGGTTTGATTTAAGGTCTGTTTTGATTTGGGGTCAGGTTTGGTTTGGGGCTGGTTTTAGGGTCAGGTTTGGTTTGGGGTCAGGTTTAAGGTCAGATTTGGTTTGGGTCTGGTTTTAGGGTCAGGTTTGGTTGGGGGTCAGGTTTAAGGTCAGATTTGGTTTGGGTTTGGTTTTAGGGTCAGTTTTGGTGTCAGGCTTGGTTTGTGGCTGGTTTCAGGGTAAGGTTTATTTTGGGGTCAGGTTTTATTAAAGGTCTCTTTTGATTTAAGGTCAGGTTTGGTGTGGGGTTGGTTTTAGGGTCAGGGTATGGAGCAGCGCTGGGCACAGGCAAAGCCAGGACCCGCAGACCCCTGGCTGCAAACTGTAGTGCTGTGGGACCCCCAGTGCCCGGGGCAGGGCTTACGGGAGGCTGGGGCACCAGCTCCCTCCCTCCCTATGGATGGAGGCGCCGCTCCGCCTGGCAGAGCAGCAGATCCAAGCCCCCGGTGATGGAGCCGCAAACCGGGCGGGTGGGATGCTTCGGGGAAGCCTCGCCTCCCGCTGCAGCCCCGGGGGTTGCACAAGCAGCTCCACGGGATGGGTTTTGCAGCCCAGACCCCGGCTCCCGCGGGCACATCGGGGCTGGGGCTGTCCCCTCCCTTTTCTTTGCGCTGCTGGATCACGCCCAGCTCAGCCCCACACCAGGCCCCAGCATCGTGCATGGGGTCACCCCAGGGCTGGGTCCCCTCCCTGGCACATCAGAGCCGCGGTCCTGCTGCTATCGCTGTGTTGACTCTGGCTTCCGAGTCAATAAAACCCTCATAGAAGGTGCAAAGTCTGCGGTGGCTGAGCCAGGGCTCGCAGGCACCAGAGGGGGCAAGGAGAGGGCTTGGACCCTAAAAGCATCAGTTTTGGGGCAGTGATGCCCAGGGCAGCAGGGACACCCGTTCAGGACAGCATCCAAGAGGGTTCAGGGGCCACCCGGGGAACACTGGCTCTGGGACTGACCCCACAGAACCTCTCTGGGGTCACAAACTCCAGTCTGTGACTCTCCCCCATGAGGTGAATGGCCGCAGGTTAAACATCACCTGCAGTAGCCCCGAGGGGACAGCAGGACAGAGCTGCTCCATGGTTTGGGGTTATCCCAGCCCATCAGGTGCCCGGAGCGGGGACAGGCACCACAGCACAGCCCATCTCATTCTATTCCTGCAAGGAAGGGGCTGGGCTCCCATCACACCCAGCCCAAACCCTCCAGAGGGCAGGGAAGCCCGCAGGGACCTGTTTGGTGGGTGCTTTGTCTCCATGCATACTTGTCCCACACGCCCTGCTCACACCCCTCTGGCTCTCCTCCATCTCCAGCACAGGCTGGGGCTGAACTTCTGCCCATGGAGCTCCCGCAGTGCTGGCAAACGAGGTGGGACCCCATGGGACCAACACAGAGGTGATGATTGGCAGTGTCTTGGCCATCGCACAAGTACCTGCATCTACATCTGCATGCATGCGCTTCGCCACAAGTGAATGAGCAATAGGAAAGCTGAGAAATACAGACCTGATTTTCCTCCAGCATCAATGCCAGTGCTCCCACATGGGGCAGTGGGGCACGTCCAAGTCAGTCCTGCTTTCCTCCTTCCTGACTGCTTGTCTCTCACACCATGTGGGTGCAGAAGAGGAGCCTGTCCCCAGGCTCCTGTCACTCTGCAGTGACCCCCTGAGGACACAGGGGCAACAAAGGGGCTCTCTGGACTCATCCTGCCTCCAGAGCGGATGCAATCCTGGCATTGACTGAAGTGGCAGTTTTACTGGGAATGCGGGCAATAACAGCAATAACAACCCTCCAGGCACAGCACGTCCAGACTGAACTGGGAATTGATCCTTTTTTTTTCCCCCTTTTTTCCTTCCTCCCCCACCTCCCGTTTTCGGGACTTTGATTCTCTGTCTCCCCTCCAAGGCAATGACGTGGTACTGCAACATGCAACCACTAGCGCTGCGAACCGTTAGGCTAATGCCAAAGCCCAATGAGCTGAGGATTTTTACCTCCCTCTCCTACAAATTCCTCTTTTCAGCCTGAAACACGTTTGCAATTGTCTCATCCCGACCTCTTCCTTTTATCCAGCAGCTTCCCTTCCCTGGGTGAGGAGTTCCAAGTTTGCCACCAGCACTGGGAAACTGGGATTCGCTGGGACTCCACTGCTGGAGGAGCAGAAGGTCCTCGGCTGATTGTACAAGAGAATTCCACCATGCAGTGGCTCTCGGGAAAGGCAGGGAACAGACTTCACCAGGGAAAAGAGGGATCACTGCAAACATCCATTGAAGGCCACTGAGGATGGGTACAACATCGCAAGCGACATGCAGGCACCACAGCAGTTGTGCAGCTGGATGTGGAACAGTCTTGGGAATGCAGTGGAAGAGATCAGAGAGAGCCCAAGTGATCTGCCAGGGTCACCAGGAACTCACAAAGAGAAAACCCCAACCTATGGCTTTGTTCCCATCCCACCGCATCCCATCCAGGGCTGGTGCCTGCTCCCTGCACATACTCCCACTGCCAGGGGATGTAAAGGTTTTCTGTCTGCTCCCCATAGCAGCCAGGCCTGGGGCTGTTCTCACTGCCACCAGTGATGCTATAGTGATTCTCACAGGCCAGGGCCCCCTGGATCACTGTGACACTACTGGCTGGAAAGATGCCATCCCTTTGCTGGCTCTGCAGGGAGAGTCAGAAAGGAAACAGCCTCAGGAGCGTTTTCCAACGTGCAGTACCGCTCACTCCCAGTGTGTGTCCTTTGTCACCAGCCTCACAGGCACGCAGCACCCATCAAACCGACACAGCGGGACCCACAGGCCCCATCCCACCCAGAGGGGCACACAACACCTCCCCACTTGAAAGCAAACTCAGAGACGTAGTAGTTTGTCTTTCTGACTGTGTTTCAAGCTTCCAGTTTGGAGGTATACAACATTTGCAACTGCTACTAGTCCTCATCAACCTTTCCAGCAGGTTTCTGGAATGAACAGTGATAAAATTCCTAGGTTTGCAGGCAAGGATCTCACAAGGAGGAAAACCAAGGCACTGAAAGTGGAGTATCAAGATGTCAATGTTATCTATAGCGTTTCTTTCCTGATATCAAAACCATGCTTTTAACTTCCAAATAGAGAGCACAGATCCCTCCTGGGCATGGCACAGTAGAGCAGCCACACAGCTGGAAATAAAGCTCAAGTCCCACCAACTCAACCAACATCCTTTGTTACTGCCACAGGCATCAAACACTGCATCTTGCTTTGAATCCCTTGCTGAAACCTCCCCTATCCCTTGCCATCAGCTCTGAAGGAAACAGAGATTGTGCTAATATTGGTGGGTGAAACATCAAAAGTGGAGCTGTGTGAACACCCCCAATGGCATTGCCACATTCCAGTCAATTCTTCTAACCCACTGTTAAGGTCCCTCCCAGCTCCTTGGATATGTACACATTTGCCTCACAAATGCCCCAAATCCCTTACTGAAGAGGCACACAGGCTGAGCTAGCACAGGGCTGTCAGAAAATGAAGGCAACATGTTGATGCATGCACAGACTGCATCTAAAAAGGACCTTCATCATTTCAGAGCTGTGTTTTGGGGGGCAGAAAGGGAAGCTCTGTGTTCTGCTCTCTTGCCCACCCTGGTTTAACAAGGCACACTCTTAGTGGAGAAGTCACTGGTAGAAAAGACGTCCGTCCTTCACTCAAATATTGAGTTATAAACTAAGGTTTTCATGATTTAAACCTCTTAAACCTTTAAATCCTGTTAAACAAGATAGGAAATTAAGGCTAAGAGATGGAGCACATCATAACACTGCAGCCTAGTTAAACCCCAGATTAGTCCAGTGTTTTGGCAATTGGGTTCCCAGCTTGAGTCAGAGAGCTGATGCACTACAGCTCAAGTGGAAGCATGGAAAAAGGCAACTGCTAAATACAGCAATGAAAACAAGACTCCAAAAGGATGAGAAGCACAGAAATGAGTCCCACCCCCAGCAATATCCAAAAGAGTTACAAAAATAATTATTAAAGAAATACAATAAAGCCTCCTGGGTCAGGGAGCAGGGGAATGGTTTACGCTGGACCTACCAGCCCATTCCATAGTCACCAGCAAAGATGCCAGCAATGCATTGCTGCACGATGGTCCTGCATGGTACGAGAGTCCTGCTGCTTTCTGGAGGATCAAGACACCTGGACCCCTGAAAGTTCAGCTGGAACAGGAGCCCCTGTGGGTGCTGGATACCCCAGTGCTTGCTGAACACCAGCCGGGGGCACCAGGCCTGCAAGTGTCTGTGGGTCAGTCAGGCATGTGTGTGATGGAGGGGAGAACTGGCAGCACTGTCCAGACGATGCTCCAGTGTGGGACTGCATGTAGCACCCTTCAAAGGCACCTCTGGCTTGGTAGGAGGAAGACATGAGGCTCTGTCCTGCAGCGTGGCTGTGCTGAAATCCCTCACCATAGCCTGGAACACAGCTGTGTTGAAACCCCTGGCTCTGAACACTGGGATGCTGCATCTGGATAGCAGGAAAAGCCGGAGGCGAAGCGCAGTAGTAGCTTTGGGTTGGGTAAGTGCCTGGTGAAGGGTTAATCCTGGGAAGGAAGAAAACAGAAAGTTACAGTGTGCTCAGAACGGGCATTGCCTAGTGATGGAATTGCCCCGAGGGTAGATTTCCTCCTGACCAGTGCTTAGAAAGGTCACTGCAATCCATCAGAGCGATTCATTACAGGAGAAGCTCTAATTATAAGCAGCACTCAAATAAAAACAGGTTTACCAGCCTCCCAGGACAGATGTTCCCACTTCCAACCCACAGCAATTCCACACCCACTGAAGGAGCTCGATTCTTGGTCTCTGTGCAAAGAATACTCAAGCCAAACTGCAATGTGCTTGAAGATTAGCATACACATCCTCCCTGCCTTCCACTGAACAACACATCTGCTCAGTTATTAATCAGGAGAAGCCACAGCTGCCAAGTGTTATTTATCAAGAAGCCATAAAGGCCTTTGGTGCGAGTAAGAGACCAGGGTATAGAGTGAAAAGGGAAGGAAGAGAGAGTTACAAGTAACATTAATCATTCAGAAGCAAGGCCTAGAAACAGCTTTTGCCAACAGCAGGAATGACTCATCCCGATGGAAGTATCAAGAGAGACAAGCTGCCTGGAAGCCAAAGCCTCTGGGACTTCAGGAGTACTGCTCAGCCCACGCTCACCACTGAATCAAGACAATACTCGTGAAGAACATGACTGCCAGATTCCCAGCAAGAATAAAAGAGTGGCTCATGCTGGGGGCTTGGATTTTATTTTATATGAGGTGTAGGTTTGGTTTGGGGTTATTTTTATGGTGATGCCAAAGCCTGGACCTCCTGGAAGTGTCTCCTGCCTGGTGGCAAGTTGATACCTGAAGTCTTAGGACAATTTAAAGAGAAAAACCCAACAAAAAACCATCAAGACCTTTTGCTTGAGAATAAGAATCAACCTAATACAAAGTAAGCCCCAGCTGCACAGATAGAACTTGTGTCTAAGACACAGAGTCACGCAAATTCAGCTGCAAGAATGGAAAGATCCTAGAAACACCTTTCCACACCCTGTTTGAATGTAAATGTTTATGTAAATACCTTTGAGGCAGAACAGTCTATTTATGTCATCTCACCTGAGGCAAGCAGGTTTAGACACAGGGCTGAGGTGCTGTGTGCAACAATCATCAGCAGAAGCATGAGACTGATGCAGACACAGCACAGCAGCGAGACAGTCCCTCCTCCCAAAAGCAGCCCTTGCACAGAAGGGAGAGAGTGAAACCACAAATGCTGCTGGATCTGCCTGGCCTCCCCTGCAAGTGCTCACATGTCTGAGTGCCCCAGTGGATCTGGGGTACCCTCCTCCTACAGGCAAGGGTTTCTTTTAGGGTCTCCCCACAGCTGAGAGCAGATGCAAGCACTTGGGAATGTTTCCATCACAAAGCTTTACAGTGAGCTGATGGCTTAAACAATACGTAGAGTTCAACCTTTAATAGACAGCTGAAATCACATCTTAGAATAGGGAAAAATTGACCTAAATTTCCAACCTGTTTTAGAATACAAGGGTATATTCACATGGCTTGTGATCCACCCAAACTTAAAACCATTCCTGAACATCAGCCACAGGCCCCAAGGTTTCTTTTTGCTAATGCAATCTTGCTTTGACACTGAAATAATGCATTGAAAAGTTTACACTGAACTTCATGACATCTTCAATTTATAATGCTCTGCTCTTGCAGAGGTTTGGACACAACTCACCTCGCAGCATTCCTGGGAGGAGAGGTGGGGCAAAGAAAGATAAAGATCATGCCTGAGGGATCCATAAAGCTCCCGCTGTCTATCCTAATGTTGGGGCAGAACTGCACAACCTAGCTTTTATGTCAGCCCAGCTGCAACACCTTTGCATGTGCTCACACTGCCCTTGCAGCAGGTGAGAGGCAGATCACTTCAATTTAGCTTTCACTGAAAGACCTGGTTGAATTAATGTGGGATAATGTATTTGTCACAGTAATGTCAGCAGTGTAACATCAGTATGTTCCTTCTAACACCTAAGATATGAACACAACAAGCACAGAGCTCTTAAAGGCAACTTAATGCCTCTACTTAGGCTTCAAATTTCCCCTCTATCATAAGATCTTTCACAGGAACTCCTGTACTTACTTGCTGCTTTCCAAGGCTCTTCTCTCTGCTGAGGACCCTGGGATATATTTCAGCCCTGGTATCCTCTTTAGCAGACTGAAAGGGAACACCCGGTCCAGCTTAGAGCCCACCGACTCTGGAAAATCCAAGCAGAAACAGTAGCCAAGCCCATCTGAAGTCAGCAGCATGTTAAGGAGGATCACAGACAAAGCCCACTCATTCCTAACACAGTCACATGCAATCCCCCTCTGGCCACGACCACTTTCCCTTGGAGAATCCTCCCAGTTCTACCCAGAGCATTCTCTGCTCTGTGTTCTCTGCATGCACCAAAGCCACAGGGAAGTGGAAGCACGAGGTAAAAACCAAATGCAGAACTGGGTGGGATGAGGACCAGCAAACCCAGTGACAGTTTAATGCAGAGGAAACACCATAAAGCCAGTGCGTCTTGGCAGTAAGAACTGCAGGACGTCCTCCCCCTTGTGAGCCAGTGATCCCACTCTGGTTCAGGGCTTCACACTTGGAAAGGATACAGGCTTCCCCAGCTAAGAGCCCACACAGGTTACTCAAGAGAGAAGAATGAGGGATAAACCATGCAATGCAGAGCACAGACCATGGCACCAGCACCACTGGGACTCTAACCCCAAAAAAGAGAGTCCTCTTCATCTGTGAGCGGGTGGTGGAGACACCCAGCGTAGCAAAAGCTACTGGCATGAATCCTTTGGCATCTTCTACCTCTGACACCCTCGAGACAATGGGCTCGAGTAACAGGTAGAGGAGGGCAGAGAGGACAGCAAAGGCGACGGTGAGGAAGCAGTGCTTCACAGTGCCCACGTTCTTCTCAAAGCTGCCAGCAAAATACCAGATGATAATGGCACCGCAGGTCAGCGATATCAGGTCTTCATAGACAAAGATGTAGGTAATCAACCTGTAAACTGAGCACACCAGCACTTTAGAAAGGCACAGGCAGCAATGCATTTGTTTGCAACCACTACAATGACACGCTTGAGCAAGAGGGAGAGCTAGCCTACAAGGATTAATGGCTTTCATTTCTATCCCGGTGTAGAACAGAACTTGAGCGCTTTAAAACCAGGCATAAATCATCAGTTAAAGTAAGCGCTATCTTGGGTATCGCACACGTAGGGACTGACTCTTGCTGCTTCCTGGGAAGTTGCCTGGAGAAAAGGAACAGTATCTGTAGTAAATTTCAGTCTCATTAAAAGAGAAGGCAGGAGACATAAAAACGACTGGTGTTGTACCTGGGATTTTGCTCAAAGGATAAACACTATTTAAACTGCTAAGAGGCTGGCTTTCTCACCAAAAAATGCCTGGAGGTTACCAGAAGTAACCTTAGGTTAGCGTTCTCCTGGGCACCCAGTGAGGATGGAGCCAGAGTTCTCCCTCAGTCCCACAGCCAGGAAAACAGCAGTTGTGAGTACAACCTGGTGCAACCCAACTGCACCCCTTGGACACATGGGACGAGATGGCAGAATCCACCCATCATCTCAGAGCACTGCACTGGTAAAAGAGATCCCTCCCTGGGGGCAAGCAAGAACACAGGAATTAAAGGAGTGATAAAAATCCTTCTGGGAATAGCACAAGGAAGCAAACGGAGGAAAGCAAACCCCTCCAGCTCCTAGCAGGGTACCCACACTGCATAGTGTCACAGACGTAGGGCCGAGGGGGAAGCAGTCTGATATAGGGGAGCTGAGATGGGAGCACAGCAGGCTGCTCAGAGGAAGGGACTGAGGGGCAGGGAAGCAAGGGGAACGGTGCGGGTCATGGGGAAGCCACGGAGGGAGCAGCAGGCTGGGTGAGGGACTTGAGGATGTGCCCAGAAACAGGGCGTGAGGTGAGCGGACCGAGGGGCTCTGTTCAGGGAGGCCCGGAGAGAAGGGAAGCAAAGGCTCGGTGCGGGGGCCTAGGGAAGGCCTACAATGGGGGATAGGCAGTGGGACCATGGAGGGACCCCCGCTCACCTTCCCCGGCGCGCAGGGCCGCGGGCCGCAGCGCGGCAGCGGAGCGGGCAGGGGGAGCTCCCCGCAGCAGCCCAGGCACGGAGGCACCGAACGACAGCAGCAGCGTGAGGGCAGCGGCGGCCGGGACCGGAGCCGGAGCCCGAGCCCGAGCCCACGGCGGGGCCATGGCGCCGCGCACAGCACCGCTTCCGGCCGCCGCCGGAAGGCATGGGCCGTTGCTGTGGCAACGCGAGGCTGTTGCCATGGAGACGGGCGGGAGGTGTTTCTTTTTCTTCCTCCTCTTAAAATTTTAATTATTTCTAATTCTTTTATTTCCCCTTTTTTCCAGAAAGGAAAAACATCCCCTGGAGAGGGGGCAGCCGCGGCTCGGAGCCCGCCGGCCCTCCCGGTAAGGCCCCGGGGTCCGGTTAACCCTGGTGGGCTGGACAGCGCGTTTCCCTTCGGGAGGGAGGTGGAGAGGAGCAGGATGCTCAGAGACAGGCATCCTCCATGTCAGTGGTTATGAGCCTGCTGGAGCCGCATCATGGTGTTTTGCGCTCTGTCTACAATGTGTGTGCAACAAGGGAAGCAGCAGATGGGGTGAAGCCCCTGAGTGAGGAGAGAAGAGAGGAGGAGAAAAGGAGAGAGAAATAGAGGCTTTGCTCCAATGGTGATGGAAGGCCCAGCAGAGAGTGGAGCAGTTACGTGGCAGAGACACTGCAGCCCCCAGCTCCTCCTTCAGATGAGACCCCAGTCGCTGGCTCATGTCTAAGGAGAGAACAGTGAGGTCTCCTCCACATGGGAAGGAGCCTCAGCATAAGGACACGGAGCTGCTGGAACAAGTCCAGAGGAGGCCACGAGGATGCTCAGGGGCTGGAGCAGCTACTCTATGGAGCCAGGCTGAGAACATCACGGGTGTTCAGCCTGGAGAAGATGGAGAGCTCAGAGCAGCTTCCAGTGTCTGAAAGGGCCTACAAGGATATGGGGAGGGACTCTTCATTAGGGACTGTAGTGATAGGACAAGGGGTAACAGACTCAAACTGAAACAGGGGAAGTTTAGATTGGATATAAGGAAGAAATTCTTTACTGCAAGGGTGGTGAGGCACTGGAATGGGTTGCCCAGGGAGGTTGTGAATGCTCCATCCCTGGCAGTGTTCAGGGCCAGGTTGGACGAGGCATTGGGTGTCATGGTTTAGAGCGAGGTGTCCCTGCCCATGGCAGGGGGGTTGGAACTGGATGATCTTAAGGTCCTTTTCAACCCAACCCATTTTATGATTCACCTTCCCATACCCCCTCTGATTTTGCAAAGTGGGGGAAGAATTTGAGGGGGCTGGGATCACCCCCAGCCAAGGGGGGTGAGCAGAGCACTGAGGGGCTGACATCTTTTCCCCATCCCAGCTCTAAAGCTTTTGACTGGGAGCAACAGGAGAACACATCACGGCTATGTCAGCAGGCTCACGGGAACTCATCGCTCCATCTCCATTAATGCCATTTTCCATTCATGGGAATCCTTCAGTCTCTGAGAAACACCAAGGCACTGAGAGACTCTAAGCAGAGCCAAAGATCCCACCAGCACTCCCACCCTGCCCCTGGCTATGGAGCATTGTTTGGGATCTGCCCTAATCCTGCTGAGGGGTCCCAGGCTGTTGAAGGCCAATGGTGCAGGAGATGTCGAGGCTGGAGGAGATGAAGCTTTTCAAGGTGAAACCAAAAGCTGGGCAGAGAGCTCAACCCCCTTTTATGTTGTAATAATTCTGGCCACTGCTTGCTCTGCAGAAATGTATTTTAGGCTGTGGCAGTGGGATTTGCTTCCTGCTGCTATGCCCAGGGGGGAAGAAACAGCCCATATTACTTGCAAATATGCTCAACCCATTAGCTGAAACCAGAGAACACCCTTCACTGCCTTGAAAAGTAAAAGATTCAGGGTAAAACCTCACTGAAGCATGTGCAGGCTGCCACCAGGCAGAAAGCGTGCAACTGTTGGCTGTCCCTCTCGCAGGAAGGCAGCTTGAACTGAGAGACAGGACTGCTGAAACCCCAGCCGGATGGAATAATCAATGCTGCTTTCACTGCTGTTTTGGTTTGTTCCGCGTTAATCTTCCTTTCTGATGTCCCTCCTTTCCTAGAAGTGGCCCCGAACATCGCGACCCCTTTTCTTGGAAAGCCACTCTCCAAGTTGTTATTTGCCTTTTTGACACAGCCAGAAACTCTGCCGAACCTTTCTTATTTTAGGAACCAGATTTTGGATGTTTTCTTTTAACGCTCTCATAGAACCACAGCCCGGTTTGTGTTGGAAGGGACCTTAAAGCTCATCCAGCTCCAACCCCTCCCACGGGCAGGGACCCCTTCCACTGGAGCAGCTTGCTCCAAGCCCCTGTGTCCAACCTGGCCTTGAGCACTGCCAGGGATGGGGCAGCCACAGCTTCTCTGGGCACCCTGTGCCAGCGCCTCAGCACCCTCACAGAGAACAACTTCTGCCTTATATCCAACCTGTATCTCCCGTTTAAGTTTAAACCCATCACCCCTTGTCCTACCACTGTCTTCGCATCCTGCCCCAAATGGCGATGCACAAGGAGACGCATGCCCTGCTTCCCTCACCAGCATCCCTCTCATCACCCTACGCGTAAATTAAACCGATTTAATCACTTTAATATCCCTCCCTCCCGCGCATCCCCGCACAGCGCCGAGCACACCCCCTGCTCCGCCCCTCCCACCGCGCTCACTTGGTACGGCCCTTCCCCTCCACCCCTACTTCCCCACACGAGTGGTAGGCGCCGCGCCAGCCGATTGGCTACGGGGCCCCGCAGTCCGCGCGAGCTGCGGGTGTCTCAGTGTGCGCGCGGCTGTGCGCGGCGCTCGTTTTTCAGTTGGTCTGTACCCTCCAGCCCGGTTACCGGCCGCCGCCATGGCTTCGGGTAGGTGCTTCCAGGCCCGCCAGGCTTCGGAAGGGGAGGGGAAAGGGCCGCTGGTGGCGGCGGCTCCGCTTCCTGTCGCTAAGAGCGGGTGTGGCGGTGTGGGCGCGGAGAAGGGTGGGCGAGCGCCATGTGGCGCAGGTGTGGAGAAGGCCGCGGCCATGTTATGGAGAGACGTGGTTTCTTCCTTTCCTCCCCCCCCAGCCCCTCACACCTTCCCTTCCCCCCCCCCGGTTACCGCCCGCTCCGGGAGGGGGGCGGGGGGAGGGTAGACACGCCCCTTTTTATCGAGGCCACGCCCCCTCCCCGGGAGCCCCCCCCCCTCCGCCAGCCCTCCCAGGGCCGCCCCTTTTCGGCCTGGCCACGGCCCCCCCGTGTCGCAGCGGGGTGGGGGATCCCAAGGGGGTTCCCCCTCCGCCTGTGGGGCCCACCTTTGGGTGGTGCCTCCCTCCCCAGGACGTGAGAGGTGAGCCCTATTTTGGTTCATGACCCCCCCCCCGATGTTCCCCCTTTGTGTTGTGTGTCCTCCCCCTGGTGTGGGATGTTGACCCATCCTTCGGTGATGCCACTCCCCACACATGGTTTGTGTGCTTCCCATATGGAATGCAAACACCCCTTTCCTAACCCCCCCCCCGGCATGGGACCCACCTTTGTTTTCCAGTATCTGCTGCATCTGCTCTATGTTCCGCTTTAGCCACCAGCACAGTGAAGGGGGTGGCTCCACGCCCCCCTACAGTGGGCTTAAATTTGGCTGTAATTCTCCTATGGAGGCCTTTAGCTGGGTATGGAGTCAGCAGCTCTGCTGTCCCAGATGACTTGATGCAGCCCAGCTTTTCCTGGGCCTTCTGCAAGCGTGTTGTGTTGCTGGTTTTCATCCCATTGGAGGTCCCAGCAGCAGCGATGTCCCTGTGAAGCATGGGAGAGGGAATTCCCCAGAGCCGTAAGTGCTTTGTGGAGTGAGATATGTTTTGTTAGGTTTGAGCCATCTTAATATTGTCTCACATGTACATATATGAATGATAGAGAACAAAACCAAAGCAAGGTATGTTTAAGGAATCCTTTGATGCAAGGAACAGTTATTTACCTTTAGGAGAAAGCCTGTCCAAAGACACTGTCAAATGAGTTCAAACCATGAATTCTTCACTAACTGGGTGACGTTTGGCAGTAAACTGAAACCTCTTTCTTCCCAGCCTCCAGGTACTTTGCAGTACTCTATGGTGGTGTTCAAACATGAGGTTCTTTCTCTGATAAGACTACAACAAAAGCAACGCTGCTGCTTCATATGGATGGCTGTGTGTGAGAACTTTAGTTTTCCAATACACACATCAGGTTCCTTTATCTTAAGTAGAATACACGTGCTCGGTGGTGCAGGGTGGCTGCTCTGCTATGCCCTGCTTTATCTACAGGAGATTCTTCTAGCTTTCTAAACGTGCAGAAAAAGTGTTTGTCTATCCAGGAATTCCCAGAATAAACCATCTGTTGTTTCCAAAAGTCCTTAACAGTCTGGTATCCTCATGGAGCCCAACAAAATCAATCCAATCAGAAGCCTGTAGGCTAAAAGATCCAGTGAAGGATGCATAAATGCAGGAGAATCCTCTCATTCTGCCTGTTCCTATTTTACATGCTCCTTATGTGGTTGTTTCCAAAGTTTTTCCCAAATGTTGTGGCTTGGCAGAAGTTTAAGTGAGAAGCTAAGGAGATTAAATATAGTCATTCAGTTTATAGCTAATTTCATCCTTAGTCAATTCTGATATAACCATTAATATTCTTTCCTTTAATTAGTGGCATTAATGGCATATAAATTTTCGAGTTAAACCAGAGGTTTGAAGGCGGTTGCCTATTTAATACTCATCTTTGTGATCATTTAAATTGAAATAACATCAAAATTTGACCTTAATTTCATTAAGAACGTTCAGCATGTTGGAGCTGCACTTTTAGGTTAGCTTTTTAGTTGCTTTTCATTATGAAAAGACAATGAAATCTTTGTGTAGCAGTGCAGAAGGAGAATGTTTCACATCTGAGTGAAACTCCTGTATAGTATGTGTGAAATAAAACATTCATCTCATCTTAGCTTTTAGTAAACTTTTCTCTTGCAGAATATGAAATTTGCTGCTTTGTGTTGCTTTGAGGAGATACTTTAGCATTAAAAATGATGCTTCATATCTGAAGAGCTTAGGTGGTACCCTCGTCTTGGAATTACATACACGTGTGTTTAAGTGCATGTGTAAGTAGGATTTGATTTATAACCAGCGGTTATAATGAGCAGGCTTTCAGCAATTTGAGGAGTGTTTTGATTGGAAAATGGTTGTAGTCGTTCCTAGTTTATGACAGGTATCTTGCATTGTAGTTAATT